AATTCCACTAAGAGGGATTCAAATCAATTTTAGGGAGAACATAGTACCCTCAGATGCAAAATTAACCACAAATCTTAGAGCTGCTAGGGCATAAAATTATTTCCCAACATGCTACCCGATAGATGATTACTAGCCAATTCTAAGGCAAAATTCTGACCAACCACTTCCAAGGAAGAATTATTTTGATGCAGACTTTACTAGATAATTGCCATTGATCCTCTGGGGGGAAAAAACTGGGTGCCATAAACCAGCATGCTCAGATGAGTGTGATACTTATGTCACGACTATTAAAAAAAAAAAAACAAACACTGTCACAACATACAGCACACACCAACTCAACTCTATGTTATCTAAGCAATATTTAATGACTGAAAGGTGGCCAAATGCTTTACAGTCAGGTTTTTTAACCTCCCATATATGTAGAGCAAAGGTCTCCTAAAGAATTGATCAATTTATGAGCAATGAGACAGGCCATGATACAATAAAAGTTACTTGTGAATCTAAAGGAGATTTTACTATCAGATTGTGTGTTGAGAGTATTACATGAATCCACATATGTAGTAGGTGAGCACGATAAACAATTGCTTTGACTAAAATGTTTTTAATGGGATTTTAAAAGCAGAAGTGAATATGTATGAAAAGTGCTGACAGACAGGCTTATGACGACTCTAGAGCTCTTCTGTCATAGATACTTACACGTCAGCACTTTATTTGGTTACTGTACACTGCATGCGCAGCATGGAAGTCTCAGAAGAATTCCTGGCCAAGACTCAGTTTAGGTGCGTTTAGGAATTCCTGCGGCAGGAACTTGCGATTTCTGATGTCATAAAGAAAAACTCCACGGCTGGATAACCAATATCCATTACCTAAAGTCTTTGTGTACACGACATACATTTCACACAATAAACCTTTTCCATAGTGCGTGGCATGGACAAACAAGTGCACAATTCAGGCCTGCAATAGGGAAGCAGAGTGCCATAACACATACAGTGCAGAACAAAGCATTTCTGGAAAGACCAACTTCAGGTAGACCAATATTGCCCTTGGTTGCCTTTTTTCAGCACAGCTTCCAGAATTCAGTTCCTCTTTAAAGTGGGACTACACCATCGTATCCCAGCCAGGGAAGGGGACATCTGGGCCTTCATTTGGATTATAGTTGCCATGATACTGCACGTGTGATCAGCTAGGACACCAGCCATTTCAGGGCCTGAAAGTTCAGCTGAGAGCTGAAATAAGCTCACTGGCAACCTTGACCGTTGGCATGCCTTAAAAAGTAGAGCTGCACTGAAATGAAAATTTTAAACCCCAAACGAAACCGAAATAAAAAAATAAAATGTCGGGCCGAAACCAAAAGTTTTTTTTTTCCAACATTTTTTAAAATATTTTATTTATATTATCTTTATTTTTTACTTTATTTTAGGTGCTTCAGGTTAATATTAGATAGCTAATCAGGCTCCTGATATTTCCCTTTTAAAATTGAAAAAGAGATTGAGGACTGTGTTCTCAATCTCTTTTATTGCATCCCCTGTTATAAATGAACAGGAATCCTATAGGAGTGTTCCTGTTCATTCATAACATGAGGACATAGTATGTTTACTATAACCACAATTATAAACAGGAAGTGATGTAGATCACTTCCCATTAATTATTGAGGATATAGTAAACATACTCTGTCCTCAATTATGTACAAACACTCAGAGAGATCACTGATCACAGTGCTTGTACCCGCTCTCCATCCTGACAGCTGTCACAGGAGACTGAGCGAGCAGTGCAGGGAGAAGAGCTCAGCCTCCTGTGACAGCGCTGGCTGTCTCCGCCCACACTGCTCTCCTCTGATCTATGACAGGAGGCTGAGCGGGCTAGGAGGAGAGCCCCCAGCTGCTCACAACGCTCAGCCGCCTGTCACTTTTTCTCCTCCCCGGTGGAACACAGAGCGGGGAGAAAAGAAAGCAGGGATGCGCCGCTATATCGGCAGAAAAATTGCACTTTCGGCATTTAGCCAAAAGTGCCATTTTCGGGCGATATGTTTCGGCGGACGATATATCAGTGCATCCCTACTTAAAAAGGTACCTATTTTGGGAGACATTAAATTGGTGGGTAAAGTTCATATTTATTAGCGGACCTTGCAGTCAGGGAAAGTCAGGATCATGTATTTTCACACTAGGTTTAGGTCAGTGGATTAAAAACATAGAAGTTAGAGGGGCCAGGCAGCTTCCATTTTAAAAACAAGGTCAGCAACAGCAGCCCCCTATTTATTTCCTTTCAAAACTCAAGTTTAATTTTAAAATAAACTTGATTCAAAAAAAAAGAATTGCATTTAATTACATATGTCCAGTTGATATACAATGGATTACAAAAAAAAAGAAGAAGTCTACACACCCGTGTAAAAATGACCGTGCACATGAGATGTCCTTGCATTCTGACAGATTTAGAGCGCTTTTGCGAGGGAAGATGTGTCCTGCTGATGGAGACTCCTACCCAAAAAGACTGTCTGCTATCAAAATCAAGGGCACATAAGTTGACTTTTCCATACTGTAATGCACAAGTACAACAGTTCACCACATCTTAAGCAATGCCACCCATGTTATGACCAAGATAAAGCAAGCAAAGTGTAAAATGTTTGTTTAAAGCAAAGAAAACCTGCCTTTTGTGCAGAAGCAGCAAAACTGAACAGCTGGAGAGCAGATGTTCTTACCAATTTAAGGCCATAGTGTCCGATTTTATCGTAGGTTAGTTCTTTTGCATAACTGTTTCAGAGCAAATGGAGGAAGCTAAAATCTACCAAAAAACCAAACAACTTTATTTAGCACTTGTCGCTGCACGCCCCTTGTGTAACACTCTGCAAGGTAAAATAATGCACAGATAAACAGGATGCAAACTGCAACCTCAGACTCATGCACTTCTCAGAGTGAGTCACTTTATCAGCCATTTCCGGATTGCCACTCACACACACAAGAGTTATAAACATTATCAAAGCACAATGCAGCGGCCAAGGGTCAGCAGCTGCATACACACCCAGGAAACTCCTAGCTCTACTCATTTCCAGCTGAGACATAAAAGGAATTGAGAGATTTCAGTCTGTGGTCAGACATGGCTCAGTCCCTAAAAGCACAAAAGACAACGACACTAGATTTGCAGTGGTCTGAGTCAATGCTCTGAATGTTGCTTACCTCACATCTAAGCAATTTCCATACAAAAGCTCTCCAGCAAAGAGATAGTCATACAAGAGCTTTGTGGAGTTTATGACAGGAAGTCAAACTGTATTCAAAAGGGCTCATTCACACTTAAAATGTTTTGCTGCATTTTCCAGAACTGGCAAAACGCATAAACTTGCTCACAATTCTAATTTTGTCATATTAAAGCGGACTCAATGCTACCAATGCATCCCTCTATGCAGTGGTGTATTTACAAATGCTGCTGCCCTAGGCAAAACAGCAACGCCGCCCCCCCCCGTACTGACGGCAGACCGTCATCATCAGCAGCACACACACACACACACACACACCCCCCCCGGGGTTGACGCCGCCTCACCATTGGCACAAGCCTCCGATCACCACTCACCCGGGATTCATCAAAGCGCCGCAGCCCGCCGTCCTCGTCCCCTCAAAGCGCCGCTGCCTGCTGGACACCGGCACAACACGCCGTCCTCGTACCCGCCGGCCGTCCTCGTGCCGCTCTCAGGGAATCTGCCGCTCCAGGCAAACGCCTTGTTTGCCTCGCGGCAGATACGCCCCTGCCTCTATGTATGATGATTAATAACAGACATGTCAGGTGTGAAATACTTACACTTGCAGAGCATTCACTTCCTGCTTTGAAAGGGCAAAATGACTTCAGTTTGCCAAAGCAATGCACACTGGGATTGCCTTGTCACTGCGGAAACGAGTGCCTCCATTTAAACGATGGTGGCACCCGTGCAGGGGGAAGGGCGCTGCGGGAAGCCTCTAGAAAACAAGGAATTAAAAACTTTAAGAAAAAAAAGCAACAGCCTCCAGCAAAGGAGGGTCTCCTTAGAAATTAAAAAATTATGCTTTAAAATGTAGAAATTTCCCCCTCTTCCGCAGAATCCCCAGAAAAGACCGATGAGGGGGCCGGCAAAGCGCGCTTCTGTGGGGGGCGCTGCGTTAGCGCGCGCTCCATACGGGACACAAAACCGTCCATGGTGGAATAAAATTCTTAGCTCCTTACTCCTGACGCTAGGCACAAAACTGGAGACTTCTCAGTAGGTGGGGGGTTTGGCCACCGGCAGGGGCCGCCCCTAGGCTGTAATTGGTCTTTAGTTTTTTTGTGCCTAGCGTCCTTCTCCTGCAGGTGGCGATATTACCCTACAGTACATGATCTCCGATCTGTTCCCTGTGTCCTTCAATGAACGGGAGAGAAACAAACATTTAAAAAAAAAAATAAAAAAAAAATCAAGCACTGCAATGTGCGTATGTGCATGGCATACACCACAACATGGTACACACTGTTGCACTTGTGTGTGTGTATTCTCTTAATATTTTTTTTTCTTCATGACCGTGTTTTGAGGTCCTACAATAGGACCTCAAAACACTGGCAGTACTCGATACAGGGGATGACATATTGGTCCGTTTATTTTCCTTATCCATATTACAAATGCAACCAAAAACAACAACAGTGTTTGCAAATATCCTTTCTAAGGAAGCCTGGGTCTTCCAGCTAATGTACATTTCCAAAGTAAAACGTAGCATAACTGATCTTTGTTTTTCTGCAAAGATGTTCAAAAATAGCTGAAGCAGAAGTACTAAGCAACATTAGCTCACTTCCAAAATGCAGAACAGCTTAGACCTGCTGCAGACAGCTATAGTTTTATTTCTATTTAAAAGAACGCCCTTCCCTATTTTTTAATGCACTGGTAAAGCCGGGGCTACAGTTAGAAAAAATAAAATAATCATGAATTTTGGAGTG